TGTCTTACAGTCTCTATGTCATTTATTTCTGCTCTGATTGTCGGTATTTCCTTCTTTCTAGTAACTTTGGGCTTTGTTTGTTCTTTTTTTTTTTCCCCTGCCTCTTTGAGGCATAACATCAAGTTGTTTATTTGGGATCTTCCTGGTTTCTTGATTAGGCATTTATTACTATGAGTTTTCCTCTTAGAACATCTTTTGCTGCATCCCTTACTATTAAGGTACTTTTTAAAATATCTCTTTTGATTGCTCCTTTGATCCATTGGTTGCTAACATTGCAATATGTTTTGATTGTCCAAAATTTATGTTTTTGTTCTATATAGAGCCCTCAAAAAGTTGCTTTTTAAATTTTATTGAGGGTTGATAGATGTGTCTTTTTGAAAGTTTTTTTTTTAGATGCACACTCCTTGATACCAGAAAACACTGTTTCTTAAATTGGGAATTTCATGTAGTTAGTCAGTAGATTGTATAAGAACAAATCATTGAAAGTCAGGAAAAGTGGTCAAGAAAATTGTGGAGCAAACATTTAGCTAAGCCTTAAAAATAGGTAGGTTCATGTTCCTGTATTAAATGTTTAATCAACTTTCTAATTTTCATAATTCATAAGAGTAAATAGTGTATAGTTTCTGTATAAACCATATATATGTGGAATTTCTGCTTATAGTATTTGACAATTATAAAATAAATGGTGGATTAAAGCAATAGAATGTAGGTAATATTTTCTATTTTAGCAGTTACAGTTCTAATTTTATGTGTTTTCATGGTTTATTATAATAATTGTTTCATGATGCCCACACATATAGTTCCTAAAACTCATTCGGTATTGCTGAGCAGTATTTTTCTAACTATAGATAGCCTGACCTGTTAGTGGTTTAGTGGGTAATGAAATCAATTCAGAGGGTTTTGAAATAGCATTTTAAAAATGAAACATAATGGAGATTGTGTATCACTGCCCTGGGTTAAAATTGTTTTGTGACACTTTTCTATATGTATATCAGATTGCAACATAAAAAAGTATTTTGTATTATGTGATATGATTTAAGCAGTGGCTACTGTTTTAGAGAGCCAGCAGTTAATATATGATGATTAACTTTACATTTCCTTTTTCATTTTAAAAGAGTTGATATTACTGTAATTTTGAGCAGTTTTTCATGTGCTTGGAATTGTGGTTTACAAAGCAACTATGAGAGTTTAAGCTCATGCTGAAGTTGTAACATAGAAATTAGAGGGAGAATGCAGTCATCACATTTTGAACCAATATCTTAGTAACATTGTCAGGTAATAAGTAATGTAAGTGAGATACCTAAGAACTATCATTAAAACAGTTTGGCAAGAGTTGGAAAACATTAAAAATGTTAGTGGCTTATATTCCTTACGTTTCATGTTATTTTGGTGACATTTAAACCTAGGATGTTGATAAAGGTATAAAGACTATTAGATTTAAATTTGAATATGAAAATCAAACCAAATTATATGAAAATGGTTCCTGGTATTTTAATGTACAAATGTTTGATACACACAAGACAGAATTTTCTTTTGAATAGAAACAAATGTAGTTTGCCTAACTTAAGTCAAAATTCTATACTAAATTTTGTTTCATACATAATTAAAATATTGATGACTGTCATTTGTTTCTTAGTTACGAGTCTCAGAGGAATAATTAAATAGTATACTATAAAATTTTCACCTTGGCAGAGGGTATTTGTCTTATTCATTTTTATATTACTGTCCCTATTATAGACCAGGAAAATAATATAATATGTTTTAAGCAGTGTAAGGAATCACTTCTTTCCTCAGTTATTCTTTGTCTTTTAGGACACTGATGCTTTTGAAGTGTCCATTCCACTTATTTTATATGTTTCACTATTTTTATTTTTCAGTTATTTCTTCATGGTCAAAGTTAGGTTGTGATTTTTTGGCTGGAAAGTTACATAAATAATACATGATCATCGCAGGATATCGTACCTAGAGGCACATGGTGTCCATTTGCCACTTTTTGGTAATGTTAATTTTGTGCTCTTGGTTAAGATGTTGCTTGTTTTCTTTACTGTATAATTTTTTTTTTTGGTAACTAAAAAGCAATTATGGGCAGACGATTTGTGACTGTTCGTTACAAATCAAGCTTTCTCCACTTAGAGTTAGTATCCATTGATGATTTGTACTTGAATCAGTTTCTTGAACTTTTGATTTTGGTATAATCTCAGACTTAGAGAAAATGACAATAACTCCATGTACATGAATAACTCCTATCCATCAGTTGTTTACATTTTGCATATTTAATTTGTAAAATGGAGATAATAAGAGTCCGTATCTCAAGTGGCATTGGCTTTGTCTCCTGGTTTCACTGTAAAGATCTCGTTAGTTTTGTTTTTCTTGCTGCTCAGTATAACTGTTCTTTTATATTTCTAGTTATCCTTTCTGTACTCCCTCTTCATTTAAATTTTCTGAATACTGATCATTTTCTATGAAATTTTATGCGTGGTGTGTGTATGCACATACATGTACATATGAGTTTAACAATTTGTTTCACTTTTTAAATTATTATTTTATGTAGCCATGGGACAATTATTTTTAAGTCACAAAATTCATTATGTAAAGCTCTAGAATTTAAGAAAGTCAACCTACAAACTCTTTTTGGTTATGACACTTTTTAAAGTTACCTTTCTTTGTG